TGCCCAACAAAATAAACCGAAATGATCCAGTTTTCAACCTCAGAGATCTTATTCACTCTGCAGCCTTCAATGTCCATACTCTATATCAAATTGGGCAACAGGCATATCTAGCTTGGACCTTGCTTCCCCCCTGTCGACATCTTCAAAACATGAATATAGGATTCGATTTTGATCTTGCGCCCCAAGCGGCTCAGGGCGAGCTCATGTCTTCCACATTCCACTCTGGCTGTCTGGGGATCCCGTCACCATGGCTCTTGGTGCTCATGGTGTGGGAGTTACACTTGGCCTCAAGGTTGAAAGCGCCCCTAGACTGGATTCCAGCAAACAGTTGCACTGTTCGTTTGTTTGAATCAGTATCCGTGCCTCGACGTGGCAAACGTTGTTTGTTTAATGTGTCAGGGTAGGCTCCGGCGCTGAGAAGGATTGCTTGTGTCGAGATCGGTCATGGTTGCTTCGGTCAGCAAGAAGTACAGGTATGGTGGTTGGCAGGTGATATGAATACCTAAGTCGGCTGACTAAGTCCTGAGGAGGTTCATTTTGGCAGGCGATCCAGAGTTTGTTCTCGCCGCATGGATAATGAAGAGCGGCTTTCTAATGTATGTACTGAACATCATTTATTTCCAGCCAGTACAAAATCAACGCAAGTGCTCACATCATATGACCTGGAGGCAAACTGCAAACTAGCCGTTGACTCGCCTGGCCCATTTGCCAATTGGCTACCACTGGATAGCTTCGATACAAGATTGTCTTTCATTTCGGAGCACACCACCTGCCCTACAGCAATGTGTGGGCATTCGTATATTTTCGCTTCTCTGGAATACTTCGATTGATGTACTTCATTACCTGAGTGTCTCCGTAGTTAGCTGAGAAGCTCCCGGAACTGGATGGGCACAATGGTGATTTGGATGACAATCGGAGAAAGATGAAAGCGACCGTGATCACAACCTTTGGAACTGTCTGCCTGTGGTCCCACGTACGCTCAAGTGAACACTAGATGTCGTCACGGTATCAGCTCTGATGGAAGCTAGGATTAAGACACTAGCCATAAGCTGCTGTGGTGGCGCGCGCAGATCCCTCAAACTCCGAATAATGAAGAGTCTAAGGATTAACAAGGAGGGCTGTTGAAATGAAGAAAGCCCCCCTATTGGAATAATCTCATCCTNGGAAGTCTGAGAATACAAAGAACGTATTATGTTCACGAAATTCCGGGGGGAGGGCAAGCGTCTCAAGGAGAACAGACCGATCAACCGAGTCGAATGCGCCTCGGAAATCCAGGAATACTTCGCCGCCGTTCACGTTCCGCAAGGGCCGTCCCGCCCATGTATCTGTGCTCCGCTGACCTGCGCGTTCATGTCCGCGCCAATCTAAGGTATCTGCTGCTGACCCGCTCCAGCTCCTAGTTACCGAAAAAAAGACTCACAGAAGGGAACACAACAGCTATATTCCGAACAAGCGGGTGTGAGAGCGTGTGAGTGCAAAAGCACAACGTTCTCAAGCTATTTATTGGAATGACACTGTCTGAACTTAGTCCAATACTGACGCACACGGTCTGGGTTTGCTACGAGGCTGTGACGTGCTGCATATTGCGGGGACGTTGTCTGACCTTGATCAACGCTGACTCGCGCTGTCTGGGTTTGATACAAGGCTGTGACATGCTGCATGTTTAGGGGGCCTTGTCTGTCTTGTCAACATCTAGCGGAGCTGAGAGTCTCGGTAGATTTCGGCCATTCAGTGGTCACTTTCGGGAAGCTGACTTTCCTGCCACTGAGCCTGCCTTGTCTTGTTTTCTCACTCGTTCTGTGTAATCGCACCGCCAATCAGAATCACCAAAACTGGCCTCGGAAGGGACGATCGCAACCCACATTACCGAGGCAACATTCCGCTCGCCGTTTTCTGGTGTGTGGACTCTGACAGCGATGTACTGGTCAGTAGCAAACTGGTGCACTTGTTGACGCCACAAGCGTGGAGAATCGAGTCTTGTCGCATAACTTTTCTTACCTTTGCTTCAATGGTACCGTAGACGTTCGAACCCAATTATTTTGATGTTCGAGGTCTTTTAATCTACGCGTGACTCGAGATCTTCAACATGAGGAATGAATAAAACCGGGTTGAACGGCTATCCGACCATTTCTTCAGAATCCCGGCCAAACATATCCAGTGGGTCAGGCTTATCGAAGCCACGAATGGCAGTATGTTGCACATTGACGAAGCACTCCATCCTAAACTCTCACAATAACCCATAGCGCCCGTACTGCTTCTTGAAAACTTTGCTAGCGACCACCTCCAATCACGGCTGGTCACGTGACTCAAACTGGCGGTAGTGTCACCGCTAGCAGTTACATCTAGCTTTTTCAGTAACGGTATATTCCCATGGGCCTGAATCACACCTACATTGGAGACCACCAAAGGGCTTTTCCGGTAAAGCAGAAACGGTTTGTCCTGACCGATAATGAACGGTGCATCGGTGGTCAGAACTTTGATCAGAGCTAGCAGGTGCGAATGGTGTGGACTTTTTACGTGCTCTTGTGCACGTTAACTTCAAGAGCAGTGAAACAAGCCAGTTAGAGTAACCGATTCCATCGAAAGCGGTTTGCGGCATCAACTCCGCCGGTATGGATAAGCCAATCTTACCGGTCTTCATCGGCTAATCTAGTCCGTCGTCCGCAGTGAGCAAACTAAACCTAGGCTTTCTTCACAAAGGCAGGGCATTTCGTTCTGTAACACTGAAGAGAGACGCCACTGAGGATCCGTGGGGCGTGGACCCAGCTGCACTACGCTCGACAGTTGATGTGCCGCCAGTGAGTTCAGTCGGTTGATGCCGCTCTGACATTTGGTCCTTCTGGCAAGAAAATGGCTTGAGAAAACGTTATTCAGAACATCATTGTGTTGCATCAAAAGCTGATCCATGGTTGTCTTGTACGCTTGGACGAGATGGCTTGAGATAGCTCAGTGGTTAATGTACGAACTTACCGACCGGAAGGTTCATGGTTCGAATCTTTGCATGTCGACTGTTCCTGTCTAGGCTTGGGCAACCTGGCGATATCCAACTCATCGTTCTTCCTTCAAGTGTCTCGGCATCTAAGCTCCGGAAGTATGTCACAGCTGAACGGTTACCT